TAAAATGAAAATAAAGCCTAAACATTCTAATCAAGATGAATTGGACAATAATTAACTAAAATATCAACTAAGAAATAACATAAAATAATAATCTAGCTAAAAATATAAACGAGACAATAATAAAGAAGCTAGGGAATCGGTAATAAATCGCTTCCAGTTTTACACTCATTCAACGACAATCAATAACTCGGTTAAGTAGTTCAACTAACCAACTCATTTAGCGGTTCAACCATACTAACTCTCGTAATATATGTAAAAACATAAATGAGCAAATTAACGAAACAATTAACACATAGACAATACGTCTCCGAACATGTCTATTCTAAATGAGCCAAGTTCTATCAATTTCTCCCCTCTCGGTTATGAAATCGATTATTTTTACAACTCCTCCCCTCTCGGTTCTACAAGTTGTAATTCACAAAATTAACAAACTTTAACTTAACAAATCAATATCAAGCACAAATCAAAGTGTCATTCTTTGATTATATCATAAAATTAACCTAAGTGTCACTCTTAGGTTATAAAGATTTACCAAGTTTAATTTATCAATCATGATTAAAACAACTCATCAAGATGGAGTTATCATCATGCATATAAACGAGATCAAACCGAAATGATTATCCCCTACCCCTAGCTAAAAGATTAGCTACATATAAATAAATTCAACACAACAAAATATTTCTCCTAAATTAACCATTATGCATGAATTAATTTAAAGAGAAAGTAAACTTACATAACAATCTTCAAATGTTGAATCCATATACAAGCTTCTCCAAATACAACATACAATAAGAAAAGAAAATAAAAAGAAGAAGATGAAGAGGGAAGAGGGGAAGAACCCCCCTTGGTTCAAGCTTACATGGAAGGTGATAAATTACATAAAATGTTGGATATTCTAGCTATTTATAGAAATATAATCAAACACACTTCACCAACATCAACCACAATTCACCTAAAAATCAACCACAATTTAACTACCAAAGAAAAATGGAAGAAAAGGTGAAAGAAGATAGGAAATTTGAGAGAAAATGTGAAATTTTCGGACAAAATCCGAGAGGGTATTTTTCCGCGCGCATTCGCGCACGTCTCGGTCGGCTTTGCTTCTCGGGCTCGTTTTGGGCTCGTCCGAACTCGGAATTGAGTGTCGTTTTTTTCTATGCGTCGCTAACGAACCCCTCTATTCAATGATATATGCCAATATAAATGTCTCCCAGAATACAATTATCTAGGGATTTTTAACTTCCAAGGTGTCGGCAACTTGCTCGATTTTACGCTTCGGTCCCGTACGAACTCATCCGAACTCGAAATTGAGTTCCGCTTTTTCATGTGTGTAGCTAACGAGCTCCTATTTCTATTAATGTGATCATGCCCAATAACTTTCCAAAATCCTGCTCTTCCGAGATTTTCGACCGTTCCTTTATTTTACAAATACTCGAAAAATATAAGAAAAATATACAAAAATCCACACAAATACTTAAATATTACAAATTACTAAAAAAACTAAAAACTACCCAAAATCCCACAAAATTACTAAAAATACATAAAAATAATATTAAAAAACATTAATAAAAACATAACAAAAATAACACTAACAATGGCCTAAGTACTCCACACTGGTATTACCAAATTGGCACTTACTCTTCTTAGCATATAAAGAATGTTCCCTCAACAGCTGTAAGACAGTTCTTAGGTGTTCTGAGTGCTCCTCCCATGTCTTGCTGTAAATTAAGACGTCATCAAAGAAAACTAGGACAAATTTCCTCAAGCAATCTTTAAACACCTGGTTCATAAGAGATTGAAAGGTGGCTGGGGCATTACATAGCCCAAAAGGCATAACCAAAAATTAATAGTGCCCACTGTGAGTTTTAAAAGCTGTCAGATACCTGTGCTCCTCATTCATTAGTATTTGAAAGTATCCTGACCTTAGATCAATTTTAGAAAAACATTTAGCACCATGTAATTCATCCAGTAGCTCCTCAATAACAGGAATGGGATATTCATGTTTCACAGTGAGACCATTTAAGTATCTGTAGTCTACACATAACCTCCAAGTGTGATCTTTCTTTTTCACCAAAAGAACTGGTGAAGCAAAGGGTGATTTGCTATTTTGTATGATGCCAGCCTGTAGCATTTCCTTCACTATGCCCTCAATAATGTCTTTTTGGTCATGTGACACCCTGTATGGATATTGCTGCTTGGGTGAACTACCTGGTTTTAAAATGAGGTGATGCTCTGTTCCTCTTGCAGGTGGCAGCCCCTTGGGTTCAAGAAAAATGTCTTGGTATTCATTCAAAATGGGTTGCAGCTTTCCACCCTTGTTAGTGCAGGCAGGCTCCACCATTAGCAGGTACATCTCTTCAATCTGATTCCCCTCCTCACGGTGTATGAGTGTATGAAGAGTGTGTTCTGAGATCAATTGGCATTCAGCTCCTTGATGTAAGGCATGTAGAATCACTCTCTTCCCTTGGAGATTTATAGTTACAGTCATGTTCTCATAGTCTAGCTCTATTGGAGAACAAGTCCTCAACCAGTCACCTCCTAGTATAATGTCACAGCCCTCACTCTGCAACAACCTGAGTGAGAAAGTTATCTCTTGTCCTTGCATTCTCCACTTGAGGTTGCTTGCTTGAGAATGACTCAGCAGTTTTTGCCCATTAGCCACTTTAACCTTTAGAGGCTTAGCTGAGGTGACCAGACATCCCAGGGACTTGGCTGTAGATTTTTTAATAAAGCTTAGTGTACTCCCAATATCAATAAGAATATTTAGTTTGTGATCCCCAATGTATCCCACAAACCTGAGAGTTGATAGGCTCCCTTCTCCATCCACAGCATTTAGTGGTATTTGCACTTCCTCAAGAACCTCAGTGCCCCCTTCATCAACAGGATTGCCCAAAGTCTCAGCATGTAAATAGGTTAGCTCCTCCTCCTCTGTCATGGTCATGTAATTTATTCTATGTTTGCACCTGTGACCAGGAGTGAACCTCTCATCACAATTATAGCATAACCCTTTCTCTCTTCTTGCTGCCATTTCAGCTACAGTTAGAAGTCTTGTGTTTTGTTTTTGGTAAGGAGATGGGGGTATCCTGTTCATAGGGCTTGGATTGGTAGGGAGTTTTTTGGGTATTAGAGTTTTGAGGGTGTGAGTAAGGCCTATGGTAGCTCTTGAGTTTCTTAGTAATGGCCTCCAAGGTCCGCAATTGCTGCTGCCCTAGCTCAATGGCTTGCTGTAGTGTTTTAGGGTTAAACATGTGCAAAAAGGCCTGTAGTTCCTCACTGAGTCCACTTATGAAGCTAGCAATGTAATACTCCTCAGAAAATTCCCCTTGGTTCATCAACTGCATGCATGCTTTCAATTCCTCAAACTTTTCCACATAGTCAATATATGAGCTTGTATGCTTTAATTTGTTGAATTCAACTATGATTTTTACATCCCTGAGTTCCTCAAATCTAGCTGAGACAACTTCTACAAACTGGGGTCACTCCCAATCAATCTGTTTCATGCTTAAATTCTGAAACCATAAGGCAGCTTTACTCTCTAAATGCATTGAAGCTAAGGTAACTTTTTGTGCTTCTGAACCAACTGGTACCAATTTAAAGTAACCATTGCATTTCAGGATCCAAGCTCTTGGGTTTGTGCCATCAAATCTGGGAAACTCAATTTTTGGACTAGGGCTCATGAATTGATTATTGCCATGGTTTTCATAGTGATTAGTACCTTTAACAATTTTGGCCTGCCTGTTTGTGAATGCCTGATGGATGTTCTGCTTCCTTGGATCCCCCGGAATGGATTCCTCTTCATCACTGACTTTGTCTTTGTGTGTGTTAAACAGCTGCAGTTGGATGGATGCTAATGTAGTGGCCATGTGCTCCAACCTGCCATTGACTTCAGATTTCTGTTCCATGATATCCTGGTTGAATCCCTCTACAATCATTTTTAATTGTGAGTTTATGGCATCCATTTTTTCCTGCATCTTCAACTCTGAAGCTTCCCTTTTGAGAGCTTCGGTTTGCAGCAATTGATCTATCCTTTTGTTGGTCTCTTGTAGGTCTTTGCTCCTTGTTCCCTCTGCCATTTTCCAAGGAAGAGCTGGATCTGTATACCAAATGTAATAGATGAATTTTTTGTAATTTTTTGTATTAGTTCTTTTGTGAATTTATGGGATTTTTGAGTAAATGTTTGAGCTGTAATAGAAGAACAATGGAGGAAGTAGAGAGAGAAAGAGAATTAGGGAGAGAAGAGAGAGATGAAGGATAATTGATTGATTCTCATTAACTGATTTTTCCCTTTTCACATTCTCGGGTAAAATACCAACATTTTCCCCCTTGGGCCCACTACATAACAAACTTCAAATGAAAATGTAAATACACTTAAATACTGAATATAATAAATATAAAATGATAAAATGCTGCCACATATCATCCACTAAGATCCCCCTTTTTGATTGTGATCCACGGCCGCAATTTGACCATGTGTCTCGATCTCGAGCAGCCCTCCCATTTCCGACAAACCCCATCTGCAGACTTTGTCTTAGCCATTTCCTCATTTTCTCGATCATCTTCCTCACCTACTTTCTTCACCGTTTCAGATCCCTCTTCATTCTTTACCTGCTCCATGAGGTTCATGACAGTTTAATATGCACAAGAGATTGCCACTTAGTCTCAGCGCATTCAGGTATATATAGGGGTAGTTTGTTTTTTTAGAATAAACCATATTTATTTAAATATAACTTAAATAAAAAAATATAATGATATTTTAAATATAATTTACATGCTATACACGTATTGTGGTACCCATTTGGCTGTGCGTCAATAATTTTCTGTGTGCGCGGGACTCTCTACCCCCAAACGGCAAACGTACTCCGCAAAATCTGCTGTGTAAAAACTTCACTCTTTCGGCGCTTCTTTCTCTCTCTCTCTCTCTCTCTCTCTCTCTCTCTCTCTCTAGTGCGTTTATGTATGAATGCTGACCAGAAGCTTTTGACTTCAGTGATCAGTCATCCATGGCTGAAAGCGGATCGAGCAGTCCAGGGTTCCGACTGGGTAACCATATCCGCTCAACCTTATTATATTCTAAATAACTCTTTGTTCGTGAATTTCGTCAATTAATTTTGTTTTCAACTGTAGAGTATGTTCCATTTTTACCTAATCCGTGTCCTGAATTCGGTATGATGGAAACTTTACCAGATTTTGACAATATGAAACACATAGTTTGTTATGAATGTTTTAGTGTTATGACGACTGTTTGATCATGTGCGGATTCTTGTATTTTAATGGATAATTATCAACTTGTGCTTCTTCTGGATCATGAGCACAAACTTTTTGTTTGTTCAGGTGAAAAGAAAAAAAAAACATTAATATGGGATTACATTATGTTTTGCAGCTTCAGTGAAGTGGTTGCATAATGTGAAATCTATTTCCATGAGGGCTCTTAGCATACCAACTGGCAGAACTATAAATCAGCAATATTAGTATGAGGTGTAGTTGGATTCACTTAAATAGAGAACCGTGCTATGCTAACAGCTCCGTGCTGAGCATAATATGGTTCGTTTCTATTTTCCTCATCCCACGAGGTTAGGGTTATTATTTCTTTAAGTGGAGAATTTAGAACATAAACTTTCCCTTCAACCTTGTTTAATGTGAATGGTTACTGGTTAGCAAATTAAGAAAATTTTGTTGATACCAACATAAAAGGTTTATTAGGTTTGGTAAATGGTGTGAAATTTACTTCTCCAATAACATTGATTGAAGGTCTCTTAAAATGTGCGGAAGTTAAACAATCCTGTTCGTTGCCGGGTGGAGGGAGTATTTTCTTGAACGGAAAGATAATTTTTGTTAAATAAAATTCTTTAGAGTAGTATTTTCTGTATTGTGTCTATTTTTTGCTATCCATTTTGTACCGTCTTTTATGTCACCTGTATGTGGAGGCTTTAAAGCAGTACTGTTTCTTGTGTTTTTTCGTTCTATCCTGTTATTTAATTATTTCTTAAGTGCAAATTTACTCGGTCAATTATAAAGTTATATATGGTATTTCAGTCACGAGATATTTGCTAACAAGCACTTTATAAGAAGGACATACAGTTAATATGCTCTTATTTATTTTTCTGAACTGTAATTCTTTAAATTGTGCAGATATAAAGCAGATCTTGTTCGAAGCCCAGCATCGCTGGCTAAGACCTGCTGAAATAGCAGAAATTCTAAGAAACTATCAAAAGTTTCATATTTCTCCAGAGGCTCCAAATAAGCCAGTCAGTATGTCCTATCATTAGTCAGTACTTTGTTCGTTAACTATTTATACCTAAGTTATATACAAATACAGCATTTTTTTAAATTTATAGGACCTCTTATTACATAACTGAGAAACAATACTAATCCCCTTTTGATGGCTGAGAAAACTACCTGTGGAAGATTATAATTCTTCTATGTCTGTTTATGGATATGCTCTCTGACTCCTCAGCTTCAAAAGAATAGCTGAATGCAAAAGATTGATATACCATACATTTTTCAATTTTGTTTCTCTGATTAGTTTATCTTATGTTTTCATATTTGATAGACGTTGAACTCTTGGAAAATGGTATTTAATGATGTATTCATGACTTATTTCAATATTTTTCATAAATCTTTTGGTCTCTTTTCCACAAAAATTGACTATTCCTGTGTGCTATATCTGCATCAAAATTTGTACTGGGACTTTTATTATTCTTTCTCACATTACATGACTCTCTGTCAAATTCTTGGTGTTGGTTTTTTCCTAAAAATTTTAGCCATAACGAATATCACAATGCTGATATTGTTTAAGTTTGTGGATAAAGATACTATTGAAAGGTATCATCTGATACGGTTCGTTGGATGTTAGAATACAGTTTCCTGCCTGGATGTTTATCATTATAGATGCTCATGTCTAGTGATCTTGTTGTAAAAGTATAGGTAAGTAACTTCTGTGTATGGCATTTGAGATGAAGATGAGATGAGGTGTCTGGTTGTCGAGAAAGGGAGACTTGGGGAGTACTAAGAGATTGTATCACACTTGAAATTTCCTGCCAATGTTTCTGGATAGCACTCATTGTGCATTTGTTAGGTGAAGATAGCTGGTGTTGTCTTGAACATATTTCTGGAGCAAGCTCGAGATTCCATTATTATATATTTGATAATGTTAGATTGAATAATTGAGATTAGTTAGTACGTAATGTGTGAATAACTACTTCTTTGGCTTATCAGCTGATCGTGTTCTTGTAAGTTTAGTATCTTATTGTTTCAGTTTGACTGTTAATCAATCATCAATCTTTGAAGATCGTTAATTTATCTAGGGATCTGAGACTTGAAGGTGGTATTTGTTTTCTGGTTCTACATTTTGTGTAGAGCCTATATTTGTTTAATCATATTTGCTTCACGGGAAGAACTAAATAAATTACTTGAGGGAAGATGCAAAGTCTGTGTTTTCAATTGCATAGTCCTGTTTTAGTTTGTAGTAGGCTATCTTTTGTAATAATCCTGTCCACTGTTGATAAATGCTTGTCAGGTGGTTCTGTTTTTCTTTTTGATCGGAAGGTACTAAGATACTTCCGGAAAGATGGACATAATTGGAGAAAGAAAAAGGACGGGAAAACTGTCAAAGAAGCTCATGAGAAACTGAAGGTAATTATGGAGTACAAATGCCGGCTTACGATATTTGTTGTAGTATGCTATATTATTCACTTCTTCTCGAGTGGTATGTTTTTTAATTTTTTCCATCTTTCCTAGAAGATACCATATTGGTAGCCGATGCAGTCTGACCTGTCAGATGACAAGGCTTTTAATTCATGCAGTCCAGTCTCCTGAAAGGAGAACTTCTTGTCCAAACCAAAAGAAATAATGCTTGACCTGAATTGCTTTGCATTATTCTGTGTGATGATTGAACTAGTTGATCCTGTTTTCCTTTCAGCATAAAATTGAGTTTTTAGCTTGCAGCCTTTCCTTTATGAAATTGACTCATTGCCATGACACTTGGTCAAGGATTCAGTTATTGTTTTGCTGAATATGGCCAGTGAACCTGTCAGGAAAACCAAAATTTTCTCGAAGTATTGTACACCCTGTCATTTCATATATTGATCTGTAATGCAGTCTCTGTTGCTTGTATGATTTCTATAGGTTTCTATCATGTTCAATCAATTCTATAATTTGTCTACTTGCAAATACATATTTTTTCCTTGATTGGATTGGATGCCAGTGGCTGAGCAATTGCGACATCCTCATAGAATGTTGCATTCAACAACTCTATTTGGATGCACATAATTAATATATGAATGTAATTACTTCATGACTTTATCAAATTAAATAAAAGTTATTAAGATAATTTTAATGTAACTTTTACCATCAATTAGTTTTGTTCACGTAGCAAGGACTGTGAACATTGATATATCTTAGAAATAAGAAACTACAAGAGAGATCTGGGGAAGTTTGTTGGGTTCATCCTGCTTTTGATTTATTCAGGTCGGAAGTGTTGATATGTTGCACTGTTACTATGCCCATGGCGAGGATAATGAAAACTTTCAAAGGCGCAGCTACTGGTTGCTTGAAGAGTAAGTACTGTCTCTTAAAATCATACATGTTCATAATAATATTTTCAGCTTAGTGTCAGGAATCGTGATATAGCTTTACATGTGCCAGATCTGTATCAAGACTCACCTCATGTCACTATTCGAATATTTCTCTTATTCACTCTGAGTTAAGTACCATCAGAACGAATCATATCGTACATCTTTTCAAGCTGTAGCTGTAACTTGTTTAGCAATCTCAAGGTTAATTTCTTTTTAAAATCCTTGAACGCGAACGCTGAACGATGGTTTTTGTTTACGACAAGATAAACAAGGATTCGACCTTCTAAAGATCACATCACAACAACTCTCAAAGTTTGAATTATTATCAGAAATCAGAATAGAGCAAGTGATAGTATATTGACATATTTGAATATAAATACAGGTACTAATCATGGCACGAGTCTAGTCATGTCAATATAACCTTAACTATCATTGTCCTGTGTTCCTTCCTAGAGGTGAAGGATAACGTTGCAGGATTTGTTGCCTGGACTTACTGATTCATGTATCTATTAATTTTTCCTTTGCATTTTTTTTACTTGTCTTTCCATGCTAATTTATATTTCAGTAGCCAAAATCTGCTTGCCATGGGATAATTTAGTATTCAACTAACCATGTTCCTGAATAATTAATATGTCAACGATAACATACAAGTATCAATAAAGTTTTGTTTTCTAATCTTGCAGGGATCTCATGCACATAGTGTTTGTACACTATTTGGAAGTCAAGGTAAGATACTAATATTGGACAAACATCATAATAGTTCTCTTCCAGTGGTGGTTATTAGTTTTTTTTTTAATCTTGAGAATATGAATAACTGAATAAGTAAATTTCCAGTTACTCCCAGTTCCCCACTGATTGATTTTTTGTAAGTTGTAACAGTGCATTAGCTTTGCATTAGGCATGAAACTACATTCCCATTGCTCAAATAAATATTGAACTGCTCATGAAGTCTTTTCAGTTGGAAAGTAAGTTTATGAAATATGGTAGCGTCATGCTCAACTTTTCTCTGTGTGCTCCTTGTTCTGGTATTGCTAGCCATAAAATGAACTGTTTATTCCAATACCATTTATATGTGCTTGCAGAAGAAACTCAAGTTCTTCCGTTTTTTATAAATTTTAGGTTTCAGGAAGCAAAATTATGTTATATTGAGATTGAGATTATATTTGTCTTTTATTTTTCTTCTGCAGGGTAATAAGATGAACATCAGCTCTCTTAGAAACAATGATACGGTTGCATCCAACTCCGAAAATAACAGCTTACTGTTTTCCAGTTTCCGTGGAACTAGCCCCAGCAGTACAGTGTCGTCTGCATATGAAGATGCTGAATCAGGTAAAGTTTGCGCATCTGTTTGTGTGCCTGCCGTTATCTCTTAGTGGAATCTGAACCAATTAGAATTTGGCACTGAAATTGCTTGTCACCCAGTTATTTTTATGGAACAATATATGTTAACAGAATACCCTGTGGAGGATATTCACCGGGCAAGTTCTAGATTTCATTCATATGCAGAGTCACCATTGACAGATGGAAGTACTTATGTTCAATCGAGCTTGTATAACCAACTCCCCAGTCCAGGTATAATGTCATATTGCTCATATCTATGTTTTGGCATTGATCTGGCTGTGGTGCACATTTGGAGCTGTTCACTATCTGTTTTTCTGACGCTCTGTTATTTGAAGGGGAACAGATTGCTTCTTCCTTGAGTTATGCATCATTTTCCCAGTCTCACACGGATCCAGAATTAAGCCGAAGCACTTTTGTATCTGGGGGCAAAGCAGCAGTTGACTTGGCATCTTGGCAAGAAGTTACTGGAAACTCCACTTCTGGTAGCATAAAGATATAACATAACTCGTCCATTTCATTGAAGAATGTTGAAACTCTGTTGCACTTTTGGGTCAAAACATGATGTTGTTTCTGAACAGGTGATATTGCTTACAAACCGGAATCTGGCTCTTCCCTACCTGTCCACATCAATTGGCAGGTACTTACATGTTTTCTTTCTTTTCGTTTTTCATTGTGGTGTTTCTGTTCTATCATAGGAACCATGCTTTAAAAATTTCATAACAATGAACCACTAAACACAAACGTGTAGCTGGAGAAGATTCACCTCAATGCTTTCGTCAATCTGTTCTCTATCACAAAGTGTTGTTTTTGGGTGTCTCACTCTAATCAATGGTCTGTTCTATTTTGCTTGACACTGTGGGTTTCATTTTTTTGTTTTTGTTTTTGTTTTTGTTTTTGTGTTTTTGTGTGTGTGTGTGTGTTTTTTTTTTGGTTGGTGGAGATGGGGGTATGGTATCACCATGAGTAAAGAACAATGGTTTTGTTACTTCTGTAAGGAGAATCTGCCAAAAATGTTATCCGCTGATTGTTATACTACTTTACAGCATGCACCAGAATTGTGTGTGTTTATCCCTTTAGTAATATTTTCATTTGTTTTTACTCTTCAAAATTGGCGTGGGTTTCAATCTTGTGGGAAAACTAAATTTTTAGAAAATGAGACAGTTAACGGTCTTTTGGGTACTCTATTTCGGAAATGATTGGATAATTATGGCATCTATAATCATAGGGGATAAAATTTCATTACACATGGCATAACTGATGACCTGCTCAGTGTTTAACCAGTAGGGCTCCACGACAATTCACTAGTTATGATTAATGCAAATCACTTTTCACCTATTCTTGCATTTGTGAGTATCGGTAATTCAGCATTCAGAGTTCCCTACATTGTGAACCACTGATCAGCTGTTAAAGTCATGCAAACTTAGATGGCTTTCTTATTGGCCACACAAAATGTCTTCCATTTTTGATCCATCTGAATTTGAAATATCGACTGTATGAGTGTAGTTCCATTATGTAGATACCAGCTCGTCTTCATTGCATATCATACTGGCTTATGTTTTTCTCTCAATATGTTCCCGAATTGATTTTTTGGATTATTTATTCAGCATTCTTTTGGAGACTGTTCGTTGCACAATCCACCCGCAAACCAAAATTCAATACTGAGTTTGCCTTGTGATCATGGACGCAACTTACTTGAGGAGAAATCTCTTGCACTGGATCAACAGAATTTCGTGGAGCCATTTTACACCCTTACCCATGAGCAGTCTGTGCAAAAGAATCTTCAAATGTCTCCTTTAGATTCAGAGACTGAAAGCACTATGAATCCAAATATGGAGAATGTTATGACCACGATAGGAAATGAAAACTACTCAATTTTAATGAAAAAGCCATTAATAAATGGCTTGCAGAAAGATGAAAGCCTGAAGAAAGCTGACAGCTTCTCCCGTTGGATGGCTAATGAACTTGGAGGATCGGGTGAGCTGAACTTGCAGTCAAACAATGGAATTTCATGGAGTATCGTGGGGAGTGAGTATGATTCTAGCATGCCTAGTACATTGCAAGCTGATACAGACACACTGAATCCGTCAATTTCTCAGGACCAACTATTTAGCATTGTTGAATTTTTGCCAAACTATGCCTATGCAGATTTGGAAACCAAGGTACTTGTTGATTTGACCTTGTATCTGTCTTAAGAGTGCACCGTACATATATATATATATATATATATATATATATATCTGTCCTACTATTAGTTTGCTAGATATTTTGTTCATGGATTTTCACATCATCTTGTGAAGAGAGGCATGCTGTTGTATTTCTATGGCATTTTATGCTTCAAAACTCAAACACCATGTTTATACTGTTGTCGGTTTTTGCAATTATAGGTGTGTGTGTGTGTGTATATTCATTTATTTTATTGACACATTGCAGGTAGTTATCACTGGAACCTTTCTCAAGAGTAAACAAGAGTTGTCAAAATGCAGATGGTCAATTATGTTTGGTCAAGTGGAGGTTGCAGCTGAAATTTTAGCAGACGGAGTTATTAGTTGCTCGGCGCCACCTCACAAACCTGGACTTGTTCCTTTCTATGTAACTTGTTCGAACAGGTTGGCTTGTAGTGAAATACGGGAATTTGAATATAGGTCTGTAACAAACCATATGGGTTCTGCTTATGGCCATGCGGATACTGCAACTGTCATGCATCTTTATCAACGATTTGAGACGATGTTGTCCCTTGGACCTACCGTTAGTTGTGTAGGTTTAGTTGAAAATGACTATGAGAGACAGAATATAGTCAATAAAATTGTTTCCTTGATGGAGGATGAGAACAACCAGGTTGAAAAGCTGATTTTAGATAAAGACACGTCAGAGCTGAAGGGGATAGCGCAAGGGCTCCTTGAAAAGCAGCTAAAGGAGAAGTTTTACTTTTGGCTTGTGCACAGAGTAACTGAAAATGGCAACGGTCTAACCATTCTTGATGAATGGGGTCAAGGTGTTTTGCACTTGGCTGCTGCTCTTGGCTTCAATTGGGCCCTTCAGCCAATTATTGTTTCAGGTATCAGTATAGATTTCCGTGATGGGAATGGATGGACAGCACTTCATTGGGCTGCTTTCTATGGCAGGTAAAATGGTTGAACTGCTTGTCATACAAAACACGTAACGGTCTTTGCTTTAATTTTTCTTTTGCGCCTAACACCTGAATCTTGCTTCTGACATTAAAACCACCCTTTGTTGCCCATGATTCACTCACTGTTCTGCTACCTACTATGATAGCTTGTTAACTTTTTACAGCTTTTGTATGGGAAAGGCGTGTGCGTGTGTGTGTGTATTTTTTTTTTTTCCTACTTTCTGCAAGGAATTTCAGTTGCCTAGCTGTTTAACCTTTTATTAAATTAGGCATTACTTTTTTCCTGGTGTTGATGAATTATGATTTTTTCCACCATATGTCCAGTATGTGCTGGAGACGAAAGGGCTATGTAATTCTTACCGAAATTGTATTTGCACACTTGATACTAGATCACATCTCAGATTTACATTTCCTAATTGCTTCCATTACATTGGTAAAAAAAAATGCTTCATTTTAACTGTTCCGTGTTGTTCAATAGAGAGGAGACGGTCGCCGTCCTTGTTTCCCTGGGCGCGGCTCCTGGGGCCCTCACCGACCCGTCTGCCGAATGCCCCCTGGCCCGAACCCCTGCTGACTTGGCCTCTTTCAGTGGCCACAAAGGGATTTCCGGTTTTCTCGCGGAGTCTTTCCTGACCACCCAACTCTCAAACCTCGGAGTCGAGGATCAGCAGGAGATTTCAAGTGCCAAAGCCGTACAGACAGTCTCTGAACGTTTAGCATTCCCGACAAGCGAGGGTGATGTGCAGGACACACTCTCCCTCAAGGACTCGCTTGCTGCGGTCTGTAACGCCACTCAGGCGGCAGCACGCATCCATCAGATCTTCCGGATTCAGTCGTTTCAGAGGAGGCAATTTGTCGAGCAAGGTGTTGATGAGCGTGCTATTTCTCTTGCTGCCGCCAGGGCCTCCGGCTTGGGCCAGCCTAGTGGTGGTACGGCCAATGCTGCTGCATTGCGTATCCAGAAAAAGTTCCGTGGTTGGAAGAAGAGGAAAGAGTTTCTGTTAATTCGGCAAAAAGTTGTTAAGATCCAGGTGTGGATTTCTGTCATTGACATGTGGAAGGAATTTCTCATTTTGTAATGGGGTTCTATGGCTATTATTAATAGAAAATATTTGATAAGCTTTAATACTTAGCCAGCCTTTCTTGAAAAAACCAGATCCGCCGCGCCTTCTTTTCTTTCAATTCAATACTTCCAACCCTGCTTCCCCCATTTACTCTTGGTCGAGCTGTTATGATATCTTGTTGGACCTGATGAGATGTCCGCTTATTCTGTAAATGAGTTATTGGAGTCTTGGGGGTGCATAAGATACGGGTCTTTCAATCAATGATAAGAACTAATGGAGCCTGTCACTGTGAGATGTTGTAGCCTGCTTCGGGATAAATAGAATCCATCTAATAGCCGGTTTGGCTATCAAGAACAGAGATAACGTACGATGGAATAACACATGGTTGCGTGATCATCTGGCTCTCTGCTTAAGTGACTAGTTTGACTGGGTTGAAATCGTCGATAAGCCTCGGTCTAACTTTGGAGTGACTAAGCAGCCCTACAACTAGGAGTCCTAATTCCGGGCTGGAATCTTATTCATAAAGCTTTTAAGATGCTACCAAACGCTTTTCAAGGGCTTATTAGCTCTTTAACAGAGCAATTCTTCTATATATTGTAACGGGCATTCTTCGTCTTAGTTACGAGTTTGACATCTTTTAACATGTATTCTCATTTTGGTTGATATGGAGTTGCTTCTTTCGTACGTATGGCTCATATGCCACTAGCATTGATTTCTCTTTTTTTTTTTTTTTTTTGGTTGATAGGCTCACTTCAGGGGGCATCAGGTCAGGAAGAAATATAAGACTATTATCTGGTCAGTGGGGATACTGGAGAAGGTGATTCTGAGGTGGAGGCGTAAAGGGAGTGGCTTACGTGGATTCCGATTTGATGCTGTCCCAAAAGTGCCGAACACTCAGGACACCTATTCACAGGAAGACGATTATGACTTTCTTAAAGAAGGGAGAAAGCAAACTGAAAAGAGGATGCAAAATGCACTTGCTAGGGTGAAGTCCATGACTCAATACCCTGAAGCTCGAGCTCAGTACCGTAGGTTGTTGACTGCTGCTAAAGACTTCAGAGAAACTAAGGTATCTATTATTATTATGTTGTTAAAGTGTATGCATAGCTATGTATTGAAGGTGAGTATTTTTTATTTTTTATTTTTTTATTTTTTTATTTTTTTTCAGCATGCTATGGTTATTGTGAATTCCAGTAAAATGTAATACTATTTCTTAGAGATTCTCGTGTAATGTTTATTGTTGGAACATAATTTGTTGTAGTTGTTCTTAAATAACTCAACATCACTCTCTCTCCCTCTCCGGCTCTCCCTGTTAGTTTGGGCTTTCTGACTCATGGCATGAGCATGACTATGAGTCGTCATCTTTTGCCTTTTTCTCTTGGTAAACTGTAGGTCTTTTGGCAGTGTCAATTGGAGACTAAATGATTTACTTTTAATTCTGCACCCAAACCCGAACCGATTAGAATGCTGAAAGAAGCTAATGACTTGTACTAATCTGGTTGGCTACTTTAACCCTTGCCTTGGCAAGTCAGTCTTTCAACGTGATTTGTGCCTTCATTCTCTCATGAAGAAACTACACAGAAACTGCTCAAATTATTAAGGCACAAAGTTCTAGGTTTCATTTAGCATTGGTGGTTTTGATTATGTACAACATTGAAGCACTAGAAAGTTCAATTGAAAGATAGAAAGCTCTTATTTAACTTTGTTGGATGATATCATGTAAACAATAAATAGGTCACTGTTTAGTATGTATATCATATTGCAACCTCATTTATACAATCTGAAAGTTGATCGAGATAATTGTTATTGTTTTGGTTCGGTTCTTGATGTGCTGATTCTTTTCCCTTTTTCATATCGTATTTGAATATATTCAGTCAAAATTTAGTAATAGTTTTTTGTCCGTATCTTTTC